GTCTAAAATACTGAAAGAAACTAGCCCTAGCCTTGAGCCAAACTCCTCAAACCCTCATCTAAACTCTACAACCCGACTCCCTTCATTCCAGACACACCTCAGTAGAACATTCCTTGTCTTACTGTCCATTGTGAGGTATGCTACAGGCCCCTCTGTAGGTAAATTCCCCTAATCAATGCTTTGGACTGATCATCGTGGTGTTTAGTGCTTCTTTTGTTGAAATCCCAACTGGCCCTGTCTCAGGACAGTTTGGGGAAATCCCTTTTGGGAGCGCTCCTGCCAGCCACTTTTGGGGCAACTCCAGCCACAGGTTTGGCCAAACAGAACAGTTGTTGTTATGGGTTGACTGTGTCCCTGAGAAAAGATATGTTGAAATCCCCACCACCAATACCCATAGATGAGACCTTATTTGGAAATAAATACTGTATGCATATCATCAAGTTAAGATGAGGTTATTAGGATGGGCCTTAATCCAAAATGACAGGTGTCCTTATGAGGGGAGGAAAATATGGTCACAGACATAGACACAAAGGGAGAGGATCATAGGAAGACACAGGGACACACAGACCCAGAGGGAGGATGACCCTGTGAAGATGGAAGCAGAGACTAAAGTTATGATCTCACAAGTCAAGGAATTCCCGGGGCTACCAGAAGCTAGAAAAGGCAAGAAGGGATATTTCCCTAAAGGCTTCAGAAAGAACATAGCCCTGCCAACACCTTGATTTCAGACTTCTGGCCTTTAGAACTCTGAGAGAATACTTTTCTGTCATTTGAAGCCATCCAGTGTGTGGCACTCTGTTGTAGGAGCCCTAAGAAATAAAACACTGATGATACCCTTAGCAGGAAAAACACCAAGGAGAAGAAATAAAAGAATTGACTGCGCTGAACCCCCTGACTCGGAACTCCAGACTGCCAACGTGGCAGCAGAGCTGTGTGTGGAAAGACACATGCATGGTAATGTACTGGACAAGAAAAGCAGGAGGACAGTGGCCTCAAAGGGAAACCAGAAGGCTAGTATCAATATAAGTGCCTTAAGTGATAGACCATTGCTGTCAAATGTGAGAAATATGTGAGCCTCACCTGTGAGTTTAAATGTTCTAAGGACCACATTTTATAACGTAAAAAGAAAGAAGCGAAATTTTAATATATTTTATTTAACCCAGTATACACAGATTATCATAATTTTGACATGTCATCAATATAAAAATTAACACTTTTTTTCATACCAACCAGGGCATACCAAAGTCAGTAGAAAACCCAGGAAATACTGCCTTTTACTGTGCCCTAGTTGTTAATTTTATCCATTCTCAAGCATAAAAACTATATGGAACAGTGTCAACCAGAATATTGATTTCAAAAACGTTTACTGCTAACCTAACACCCGAACAGCTATTATAATTTTTATACATTCCCTTCTAGTCTTTGTCCATATGCACAGTTCAATAAGGGCATATGCAATTTCATATTTTCCTTTTTCCATAAGAGTGACTCTCATATTTTCCATGTTTCTACATATGTTTTATATTTTAAGATTATTTTGTATTTAAAAATCATACTTATATTTATCACAAAAATTTTAAATTTTAAAGAAAAATTTAAAAGTTGAAACCTAAAATTACTTATAACTTCATTACCTAGAAAAAAACACCATGTGCTGTGATGTTTCTTTTCACTTTATTTCAATGCATACATGTTTTTACATCACTGAGCTCTTATTATAGATAATTTTGTATCATGCTTTTATAAATTAACATTATTTCATAAGCACTTTTATAAATACCTCATAAACATGTTAATGACTGAAATAATATTTTATTATTCAGCTAAATTTAATTTGCATAATTCACCAACTCCCTCCCACTACAGGACTTACCTACTGTGGATTACACACCCATTTTAACCATTTGGTTTGTTTTTACCTTTAAGTAATATAATAGAAACTATAATAAACATTTTTTTGTAAAGCTTTTCTGTATTTTCAATATTTTTCTAAAAAGGAATACCAATAAAAGAGGTATTGGGTCAAATGAATATATTTTTAAATCAATATTCTGTGTTACTATTCTGATTTTGAAAGCAACGAGTGTCTATAAGGAATATTAAATACAGTAGACCAAATTTAAAAACAGAGTAATTCATACTTCACATAAAACTCCCATCTCCAAGGAATAGCCTTTTAACATTCTTTTTAGTATTTTTCTAGTGTATGCTTTTAAAATATATGCCTTAGATTTTACCATATAATCTACTTTATTTTCTGTTTTCTTTCATTTAGCATTGTCTTCTGATTTTTCTAATCATCATTCTATCAAAAATATTCCCCCATTGAGATAAACAGCAGTTCATTAATGGATACAAAAATACAGTTAAATACAAGAAATAAGATCTAGTGTTCAATATACAGTAGGGTGTAGTTAGTAGTAATTTTTTGTGTTATTCAAAACAGCTAGAAGAATTAGAATGTCCCCAACATTAAAAAGATCAATGTTTGAGATAATATCCCATTATCCTTATGTGATCATGCCATATTGTATGCATATATCAAAATATCACATGTATCCCCAAAATATGTACAACTATTATGTATCTTTAGAAAACCACTAAAAATCCTTTGTACATCTAATTTTAACAACTTAACAATGTTATATAGTTATATCATAATTATATTTAACCCTATCCCATTACTGAAAATTTAGTTTGTTTTCTCCTATTTTTCACTCTTATAAATAACTCTAAAATTAATATTTTTGTGCATAATTTTTCTTTACATCACACTGTTTCCTTGGTATAATCCCCATAAGTTGTATTTTTGGCTTGGAGAATAGGAACCTTCTAAATTTCTGAAACATTGCAAATTGTTTTCTGTAGAACTTGCACATAATGATTGCATAATATTGCATTCCACTAGCATAATATAACTTTTGTAAACATTATCCTATTTCCAGATATTTCAATTATTACAATTTTTGTTGTTATAGATAAGGCCCAATGAACATCTTCATGAATAAAAAGTAACTTGTCTACAACTTTGAATTTCTCTTAGGCAAAATGTTACCACATGAAGATTTACTTCTACATACCTGTTCTGTAACTGTGTGAAAATCAGACCAAGACTACATGAATCTCAAAGCACTCCAAATCATATAGTCAAGTTGGTCAAAGCACACTCACTTTAACTCCATGCCTGGGTAGGTGACTATCCCAGGAGACAGGCTGCCCCTGTGCCTCTCCATTTCACCTTTGTTCTTGTGAGTACTGCTCCTCGCAAGGTTGGCTACTGCACTAGCCAGTCACAAAATATACATTACCTTTGAGTTTTTATGTTACTGTTTACTATTTCAACACTACACACTAATACCACACACTAATACTGCACAGATTTATAGGTTTCAGTTAATACTGAAAACTGAGAAAAATTTTAAAATAGACTCTCAGTAAATGAGTAAGCAAGTGGGTAAATCAACTATTTCCAGAGTTTAAGCTATGAGTAAGGTCTCTATAAGATCAAATTAAAGTATCAGATAATCTTTACTAGTAAGTGAATACACACACACACATACACACACACATTAGTACTTTATAGAATTATTCGATGCCCTTGCCTTCCCAATCTTACTTTTCCAATAGGTCTTAATTTCCTCAACTTAAAATTCAATTATAGGGCATTTTAGGAAAAAAAAAAAAAAAAACCTTCATGATCAGGTAACAGCTATTATATCTTATTCTTCTTCTCCCGGAGGACAATTTTTATTTATTTATTTTTTTGAGACGGAGTCTCGCTCTGTCGCCCAGGCTAGAGTGCAGTGGCGCGATCTCTGCTCACTGCAAGCTCTGCCTCCTGGGTTCACACCATTCTCCTGCCTCAGCCTCCCGAATAGCTGGGATTACAGGCGCCCACCACCATGCCTGGCTATTTTTTTTGTATTTTTAGTAGAGACAGGGTTTCACCATGTTCACCAGGATGGTCTCGATCTCCTGACCTCATGATCCGCCAGCCTCGGCCTCCCAAAGTGCTGGGATTACAGGTGTGAGCCACCGCACCCGACCTCGACAAATTTTTTAAAGTGGGATTATTGGTCAATAAAGAAGATTATCTCACATTTAATATATAGATTGAGGCTTTGTCTTTTCCTCTTTCACTCATCTGTTTAACATTATTCAAAGATCTATTATTTGTCAATCTCTGTGCTCATGTATACACCTCATTTCCTATGACTCAAGCCTTTTTTTGAATAGGTATTGATTTAAAACATATGTGTTAAAAAGCACACACATGTGTGTTTGCAATAAGTAAACATAATATAGAGAAAAGCAAGCAGATAAAAAATGCCAGTGAGGTGATAAGTAAAATGCATTTTAGTGTAAAGGACTGGTATATACAATACCTATCCCTAGCATCAAGTTTAAAAATACATACATTCATTCAACCATCACATACTGCAGAACACGTAAGTTCCAAGCCCTCTAAGCACTTAAAAGGTAAGAACAAATACAACTCAACAACTGTCCTGTAGAACTCTGCCACATTTTCAAAATGTCATTAGGTAGAATTCATATATACTTTGTAAATACAATCATAGACTTGACAGGCAAGGGGAATTTGAAGTCAGTTAACCCCTCACCAGGGCACAGTACTGAGCCAGACTAATCAAGACAGAAATCCCATCATGCTACTCTTTAAAATGGTAAAGAACATAGATTTAATCCCCCTCCTTGGTAAATCTATTCTGGCATTTATACCATAAAAAAATGATCCTCAGTATCTACTTCAATATTACCTCCAAAAAATGCAAAATTAATAGTTTGTTCTTGTATGAACATCATCTGGCTGTGACACCACATTTACTATTTTTATGGTACAACCAGAAGATGGGCAAGTAGCCAAATGATAAGATTAAAGTTCCTCATACCCATACTTGGCATGTTTTAGAGAGCTGAGTTCAAGAATGAATGATGTCTCTATTGCTGAAATAGATCAAGTAGGCTGATTTTGAACTTACCATTCATTCCGTCACACTTTGAATTCCCAACATTGAAGCAGGAAGTTTTCATGTTGCCAGGAAGGACATTCCACCATTTATATTCAAAGCCAAGTGCAGGCTCCGTTCCTGCTGGACATGGTCTACAATCTACAGGAGACGAGTAGGGTCAACAATTAAAATTAAACTGCAACTGGAAAACTTCCTCTTTCTCTGATCCAAACACTACTACATTACAATTAGCAGGGAGAGAAGTGGAAAAAAAGATATTGGACTACCAGTTCCCTCAGGATGTAATAACTTTTCAAAAGAAATCTGGAAAGAACAAAATTCTAGATATAGTATACATATATACATATACTTGACTAAAATGTAAAAGGAAAAGGACAGAAACAAAATCTTTAAAAATAATTTTTTCCTTCATGTCTGGGAGTAGCCGTTAACACTTAATCACCCTCCATAAAAAGACTAATTATGAGACGAGTTCAAGTTCTCCTGAATGTGACCTTAGAATCAGTTCCTCCACCTTATGAATAAAGAAAGATTTCACTCTTCCTATTGGTTATTCAACTTAACAGAATATTAATACCATTTATGAACTGACTAATTGAAATTCAAAATATTGACTATGTTGAGAAATGGTTGGGAGTTGAGGGCTTGAGGGGCTGGGAAAGTGCTGGGTTTATAAATAAGCCTGATTTAAATTGACATCTGCAAAATTGAAAGAGAAGGGTCTTTTCCAACCATTTTTAAATGTAGCCACTTTGCATCATCACATCAGTAAAAAAAGGAGAAGGGAAAGAAAATACTTTGCAAACATTTATACCTGCTGCAAAAGTACTACAGACGACATTTTTAAATGTCATTCTCGATGATGAGCCAGATATTATCCACCATCCTACAGACAAGAAAATTGAGCTTCAAAAGGTTTAAACGACTTGGATAAATCACACTGTTGGTAGCATGGTGGATATAGATTCAAATCCAAGTCAATTTGACTTCAGAGTCCTTTCTATGCTCTCTCTCAAAGGCTCTGGATAGTAAGCATACAACATGGCTATATTCAAGCCATCTATCTGCAACTAAAATATTACAGTTGACTGTAATTTTTGTCTACTAAAACTAAAGAAATTCTGTAACCACTTTCCATTAAAAAAAAAGAATTCAGAAAATGGTCACAGTAGTTCAACAAGATCATTTTGCTAAAGGCCCAGTTATTGGACCAATTGATATCCTACCTTTGGTTCCATCTGAAAATGTTCCGGGAGGACAGGGATGGCAAGAAGATGATCCATTGTTATAAAATCCAGGGTTGCAAGGTGGACAATCCTTCTTCTCTCCAGAAGGGGGCAATCTAATAGCATCTGTGAGATCCTCCCGGCAGATTTTGGGCTCTATCCACTTGTACATTATTTGTGTCTACAAAAAAAAAAAAAAAAAAAAAAAAAAAAAAAAAAAAAAAGTCATATAACATGCTTATAACAAAAAATCTTAAACTGGCAGCATAGGAAAAGTGCAAATGAATAGAAGGGCCAGCCAAAAGACGCTAAAACATCAGTGACAAAATGAGAGAAGAGAGAGAACTTTGGTGGGGAAATGACTGTTACTTCCAAATGTTTTTACCCTAAGCTATAGGTGGCCTTCCTTCATACATAGCATATTCCTCATCATGAAATAACTGTTTAAAATATAGGTAACCTGCTTATCACCCTTACTCTTCTATCCATTCATTCCCTTTATTCCATAGCTGACAGTAAGTTTCTATGCAGTAACTTGTTTTTATTCATTTTGAGACTTCCACTACCCTCTTCCTTTCCTCCAACAGCACATTTCATTATGCTTTGCACATAGCAATCATGAAAGGGTTATTTTTCAAAAAGAATACATCAAGATTCACATTTCAATCCTGTCAGTTCATAATATTGGTAGTGTTTCTCTGAGTCTCTTTCAATAACCTGATGTTAGACTACAAGAGCTGTAGCTAAAAATATTTACCCCAGAGGCTTCTAGGTCCTGAGTCATGTGCTCTGAACATCATGATTAAGATAGCCTCTGCCTTCAAGGAGAGCAGTCTTTTAAACTCTGCCCTTTTATTCTCTCACACACATGCATTCACCCCCACACAAAGCAAAATATAAGAAAACAGCTGTAACTCAGCCAAACCCCAAAAGCCGACATTACCAAATTTTTATTCTCATTTTTAAACCAGAAATACCAAATGGGTTAGCCATTCCAAAACAAAATTGATATCTCAGTGGAGGAAAATAGAAAAGGTATTCTAAATGCAAAAATATAAATAAATCAACTATTTAATAACTAAATACGGCATTTTTAAAAGATACTAAAAGTTCCTTTTCTTAAACACATAATCTGCTAAAAGTATTTTTTATCCTTTAAAACAACTTCTGCAATAGGAAATCTACTATTAAAGCTGGGGAACCAAAATAAAAGGCAATTGTCCATAGCTATTTCCAGTTAGTAGAAAATCACGTATAGTAGCTCCTTTAGCCACCCAGTTTTATTCTCAAATATTCTTATGGAAGAGTAGATTAACTTATCTGAAGAAAGATGCTTAAGAAAATGATTTAAAGTAAAAGTCTCAAAATAATTATAAATAACATTTTTTCTTTTTACAACTCTATTTTTCCACATTCATTTTATGACTTGCGTCATGAAACACTTTAGCCATCCACTTCACACACCTGCCTTTCTTACCATCTGTAAAATAATGGCTGTTCCTGCTGAGGACTCCTAAATAATTGGAAAAATACATTAGATACTATATCCATAGGGGCCCTCAACTCCCCTTAAGAAAAGCAATATAAAATTCAGAGAATCTAAGCAAATGAAACATCATCATACTGGGGAGATTACTTTCTTAAAATTCTGGTTTAACAAGCATATAAAACAAATTTCAAATCCTACTTAATTCACTATCTTGATGATTTATTTTGACATTAATAAAAACGGATTGTGTTATGTGTGAGCTACTGCACTGTTGACAGTAGTTGGTTGCCATGTGGGAATGGAGGGTGGTGCTGACACCCGGTACTAGGTAATCTTCTCAAACATTTTAAGAGGTACATATTACTATCCTCAAGTTTATAAATGAGGAAACACTCCAGATTAGAGCTCTTAATTTGCCCAAAAGTCAAACACAACTAATAAATGGTAAAGTAACACCAGTCAACAAGAGTCAGTTTGGTAAAGGTAAAAATAATAAAATATGCAAATATGTTTTGAGAAGTCAGCTAACCACATGACTTTCAATACGTGCAAACTAATTTCTTAAAAATTAAAAAATGTACACCACTTTAAGATACTTAAAAATATAGAAATCAAATTTCAAATGCTCTATAGTAAAAGTTTTATTTACAAAGCCTCTTGTTTCACATGGCAGATTGATTCTCTGCCTCTCTTTCTAATGGAGACAGATGTTTTCAAGTCTGGCTGACTAGGTAAAGATAATAATATTAATGATACTTAGAACCAGAGGGCTCCCAGTGCAGGTGAAAAATCAATAATCAATTCAATTTTTGGCAAGTTGAGATAAAATTATGAAATGTCTTATAAAACCAAAACCCTAATATAGCAAAATTTATCAGGTTATTATTAAGATCACAAAAGAGACCCAGTACCTGTATTCACATATAGCATGAAAAAAATACATTTTAAAAATCACACACAGTTTAAGAATCAACTGGAAGCCGATTCTCATATAAAAACAGAACTCAAAACTGGGAGGACTAAAATTTAGGCAAATTTTGAGACTGGCTTTGTCCAAGGTTGCCTGATTTCTTACTTCAGTTGTCACTTCACAAAGGTACTAAGTCTTTATACATTGGCTGAACTCATCAGGGCTAAATTACATGTGTTTTTTAGAAAGTCTACCAACTGACCCTAACCTAACTGCCTTGTGCTCCATGATGTTCTGGCTCAGGTGGTCTCAGCCAAGCAGGCAATTTCTTATCTCCCAGCCGGTCTCAAACCTTGATCTTTTCCAGTTGCAAGCCACTGGGCACTCATCATTTGTCTCTCTTGGAATTACCCACACCATGCTGCCAACTTGTATCTGACTCCTCCTTCAAAGCCATGCTCAGCATGTACAGTTGTGCTAAGTAGGTCGTCAGCCTGCCCAAATACATACCAGCATTCACCTACCTTCCTTTTCTATGAAGGCTTTGCTGCTTTTCTCTTTTCCCATGTGTTTACCTCCTTCCCCTCTGATATGTTTTAGATTTCTGTCCCCATGCAAGTCTTATGTTGAACTGTAATCCCCAATGTTGGAGGTAAGGCCTGTTGGGAGGTAATTAGATCATAGGGGCAGATTTCCCCCTTGCTGTTCTTGTAACAGTGAGTTCTCATGAGACCTGGTTTAAAAGTGTGTGGCACCTCCCCCTTCTCTCTCTTCCTCCTGCTCTGTCCATGTAAGACATGCCTGCTTCCCCTTCTACCATGATTATAAGTTTCCTGAGGTCTCCTCAGCCATGTTTCCTGTACAGCCTGCAGAATCATGAGTCAATTAAACTTCTTTTATTTATACGTTATCTGGTCTCAGGTACTTCTTTATAGCAGTGTGAGAATAGACTAATATATCCCCTAAATACTTGACAGCTTTGACTATCTTCTGCCTTTATGTGGAAGACACCATGGAAATTTAACATTTTACTGGCAGTTCAGGGCTTTAAGCAAGAAAATGTTCTAAAATTAAATTGTGGTGACTATACTAAAAACACGGAATTATTATACTCATTAAATGAATGAATGATATGGTATGAGAAGTATATCTCAATAAAGCTGCTTTAAAAAAAAGAGTGCTAAAAACATACTATTCAAAAAATTTTATTTTAAACAATTCAGAAATCCCTAGTCTCTGAGAAATTCCATGTTCTCCCATCTTCCTAATTAAGAAACATAGGCTCTAAGTATATTTGACTTGCTTAAATCCTGTGCACAGAAAGGCAGATCTAAAAACTGAATCCCTTTACACCCTATTTTTAATATCCCCTACATATTTGTCCTGCTATATAATTTAGAAGTACGGTGTTACAGACATTGAGCATTTGGAATAATTTGCAACACTGAAGATCATTAAAAGGCAAATAAAATATCAGACATTTGAACACTAGCAAACTCTCTGTGATCTGGAGTTCACCTCTCCAGAGATGAAGAAGTTGTATAGCCTAATGCTTCCTTCTAAGAAGGCTCCCTTTTAAAATATCCTCCCTGCCAGGCACTCTTCGAGCATCAGCAGAAAGTTCCCTAATTGAAAAAACATGCCATTCCAGTACTGGGCAGCTCTGTTTGTTAGCACATCACTACATCCCACTGGAATTTACCTTCTCTAAGTTCACCTGAGTTCTTCTTTTCTAAAATTTCCCTTCAAATACTTGAAATACCCTATTAAGGAAATTCTCACTGAGTACCTACTATGCATAGGACAAAGTACTATGGGAGATTCAAGAATTAGGCAAACTGCTCTGAAAAAGGTTGTAGTCTAATAATGATAAGACAGGTTCACAGCTACTATAATGTAAAAACTAAAAAACATGAAAGGGATACAAAGCACTACAGTTTGAAACAGACTATTTGAGTTAGAATTCCAGACCTAAGACCAGCTATGACCAGCTATGATCACAGGGAAGTTAGTTAACCTCATTAAGCCTCAGTTTTCTTATCTGAAAACTGGGTACAGGAATGTCTAAATTACACAGATGTTGAAAGAAATTAGAGGCAATGTTTGAATACACATACATATACACACACATGCACATATGAAGAGAGTACGTTCACAAATATGGAAATGATAGCTGCTCATGGTATTAACACTACCATTACTGTTACAATAATTACTGTCTCATCATTATCTTCTCCAAGAGAAACACAAAATGCCATGTGACCAAAGGAAAGATATCAAATCTCTGTAAGACAAGTAGGAAACATCACAAAGATGATCACAATTTTCCATCCTTTGCTGTTTTCCTTCTACCTGAAAAAATATTTCCAAATATTTCAGTCATACTTTATACAAAATATCCTGGCCTCTGTCCTCTAGATTCTTCCCCTTTTGTCAAAATTTTCTCAAACTGTATGCCAAAGACAGAACACAGCACTCAAAATGTGATAATCACTCATTCATTTACTAATTCTCACTAATTCAATAGACGTTTCATTACCTTCTATGTGCTAGGTACTACACTAGACTTAGAGATTTTTTTTTTTAAATAAATAAGAACCAGTCCCTGTATACAGGAAGCTGAGAATCTGGTAAGGGAAACGATCAAGTATTTGTGATAAAGTGATCTTTTAATCT